AACTGATCACAGTGACATATCTTTACACAGTATAATCAAATATCTTGCAACAGACATGGGCTTTTGAAATCTTTTAGCATCCACAGTGACACGTCTCCTCCAATAATCCCAAACGTTCTTAAGATTTATTTATTGAGAAGCTGGGCAGTGGTGGTGTAGGCCTTTAATCTCAGCACTCGGGAGGCAGAGGCAGATGGATCTCTATGAGTTTGAGGCTAGCCAGGTCTACAAGGGCTAGCTCCAGGACAGGCTTCAAAGCTACACAGAAACCCTGTCTTGAAAAAACAAACAAACAAAAAGAGATTTATTTATTGGGGCTGGAGAGATGGCTCAGCGGTAATGAGGTCTTGCACCCTCTTCTGGCCTGCAGGCAGACATACAGGCAGAACACTGCATATGTAAAAATAAATCTTAAAAAAAAAATGATTTAGGCCGGGCGGTGGTGGCGCACGCCTTTAATCCTAGCACTCGGGAGGCAGAGGCAGGTGGATCTCTGTGAGTTCGAGGCCAGCCTGGTCTACAGAGCTAGTTCCAGGACAGGCTCCAAAGCCACAGAGAAACCCTGTTTCGAAAAAACCAAAAAAAAAAAAAATGATTTAGGAAGCTGGAGAGATGGCTCAGTGGTTAAGGGCACTCACTGCCTGCTCTTTCAGAGGACCTGGGTTCAATCCCCAGCAACCACATGGCAGCTCACAACTGCTTGTAATTCCTATTCCAGGGGATTTGACACCTTCATATCAATGCACATAAAATAAATAAATTTTAAAAAGCCACCCTTAAAAAAGTTATAATGTGTATGGGTGCTCTCTACTGCATGCATGCCTTTATGCCAGAAGAAGGCATCAGATCCCACCACAGATGGCACCCTGTGCTGTTCACCACTGAGCCATCTCTCCAGCCCAAGGCCACACCTTCTAATCCTTTCCCAAACAGTCCCACCGATTAGACCAAGCAGTTAAACACATGAACCTATGAAGGCCTTTCCCATTCAAACCACCACTGTGTAAGTGCCCCACGTGCAGGTTCCCTTGGAGGCCAGAAGAGGATGTTGAATCTTGCAGAACTAGAATTACAGACAGCTATGAGCTTCCCGATGCAGATTCAAGGGATCAACCAAATCCTCTGCTCTTGAGCAAGTGTTCTTAACCATTGCGTCCCCTCTCCAGCCCCTACAACTTTTATTTACTGTGTGTGCACGCATATGGAGGTCAGGGACACCTTCTCTCACCTTTGGTGAGGATTTGGTTCTCTCACCTTTACATGGCCAGGCTTGTGCGGCAAGTGGACCCGCATCCCTTGTTCCAGCCGGAGCCCAGCACTCTCGAGCCTCAGGCCAGAGCATCTTGAGTTTGAGGCTGGACTGGGATGCAGGGTGAAGCCCCTTAAAAGACAAAAACAAAAAACAGAAAAAAAACAACTGTAGTAAATTTAGTCTTTGTGACTAAATCCTGTGTATTTCTAAGGTTCTTCTCTCAAAACACATCTCTGAAAATGACATCACAGAGCCAAAGTACCAGTGTGGTTTACCTTAAGGTATTTCTCAGGGGGCAGGACAGGGTCCTGCCTGCTATTCCTTACACTGAGCTTTGTGCTCCTGGGTACTGAACGTGTGTCTCCTCCTTTCATGATTTTTCAGAAAAGATTAAAATAATATTACTCTCCTGGTGTGGGAAGTCCGTCTATATATGTGTTGCTTTTATTGGTTAATGAATAAAGAAGCTGCCTTGGCCTGTAATAGGGCAGAGTAGAGCTAGGCAGGGAAAACGAAATTGAATATTGGGAGAAAGAAGGCGGAGTTGGGAGACACCATGTAGCTCTGCCTGAGACAGATGTGGAACCTTGCCAGTAAGCCATAGCCACGTGATGACACACAGATTAATAGAAATGGGTTAACCAAAGATATAAGAGCTAGCTAGTAATATGCCTTAAGTGATTGGTCTAGCTGTGGCTTAAATAATATAATTTCTGAGTGCTTATTCTGGGTGGCTGGGACCGAACAAGTGGCCTCTAACAACACCCTTTTAGAACAATACAGAAAAATCTAAAGGGAGCACCATGCCTCATTCAAAAGTATCTGATCACACACAGTAGGAATGTGCTCACCACAGACTTCATTGTCCTGGCCATGGGGACTGTCCTAAAGAAAGTCCAGTCCTTTCAGAATGTCTCAAGAAGCCAACTATAGTTCGACTGTGCCCTCCCAAACTTTTTTGTTGTTGTTATTGTTGTTTGTTTTGTTTTTCGAGACAGGGTTTCTCTGTGGCTTTGGAGCCAGCTCTTGTAGACCAGGCTGGCCTCAAACTCACAGAGATCCGCCTGCCTCTGCCTCCCACGTGCTGGGATTAAAGGCGTGCGCCACTACCGCCCATGTTGGTACAGACTTTATAGGTGAAAATCCAGACTCTTAAGGTAATTGCATAGAAGGGAGGGCCGCTGGGAGGTGATCAGTTGCTTGTCTAAGAATATTAATCTACAAAATACCTTGATCCAGAGCGTCCAGCTTCCAAATGTATGCTAAATACATGTTTGTAGGCCATTAGGTCAACGATGGTTTGTTACAGCCACCAAATAGGACTAAAAAGGGAAATTCCCAGACCAATACAATAGGTTTTCTTGGTTTACTTTGGCTCTGTAATTCTGGGCTGGCAAGTGCTGTCCAAAAGAGCTACACCCCAAAGCCAACAGTTTTGGGGTTTCTTTTCGAAGATTTTTTTTTTGTTTGTTTGTTTTTTTTGTTTTTTTTTTTTTTTTGTTTTTCGAGACAGGGTTTCTCTGCGGCTTTGGAGCCTGTCCTGGAACTAGCTCTGTAGACCAGGCTGGTCTCGAACTCACAGAGATCCGCCTGCCTCTGCCTCCCGAGTGCTGGGATTAAAGGCGTGGGCCACCAATGCCCAGCCTTTTTGAAGATTTTTAAAATTACTTTTTTGTTTGTTTTCTGAGAGACAGGGTTTCTCTGTGTGACTTTGGAGCCTATCTTGGAACTTACTCTGTAGGCCAGGCTGGCCTTGGACTCCCAGAGATCCGCCTGCCTCTGCCTCATGAGTGTGGGGATTAAAGTCATAGATGACCACCACCCTCCATCAATATTTTTTAAGCACTTGAATCTTACAAATTGTGATATAAACTAAAAGAATTTACAATCAGGGAAAATGCTGACTGGGCTTTTAGATTTTTTGTTCTTTTTTTTTTTTTCAAATGTCAGTTACTGTAGCTAGACCCTATGAAAAAGCTTGGTGGCAGGAATAGGCTGGAGAGATGACAGCTTAGCATCTGAGAGCACTGGGTCCTCTTTCAGAGAGGTTCTGGTTCAATTCCCAGTACTCACATGGTCACTCACAGCTAGTCTAACTCCAACTGCAGAGCATCCAGCGCCCTCTTCCGACCTCTGCAGGTACTGCATACACGTGGTGTGCAGAGACATACAGGCAGGGAAACCTTTTACATACATGAAATAAATCTAAAAATAAAAAATTGGGCGGTGGTGGCACACGCCTTTAATCCCAGCACTCGGAGGCAGAGGCAGGCAGATCTCTGAGTTCGAGGCCAGCCTGGTCTACAGAGCGAGTTCCTGGACTGACTCCAAAGCTACAGAGAAACCCTGTCTAGAAAAACCAAAAAAGTAAAAAATAAAATAAGAAAGCCACTTTGGAAGATTTGCACTTGGAGTGCTTCAGACTAGGGCGTTGTGGGTGGGTCAGAGTTCAAACCTGGCCCATTCAGGTGCAGGACCACGAGGCTCCTGCAAAGCAAGCACGAGACACGCCTGGGCACACCTGTGCTGTGTGTGGAAGGCAAGCCAAATCTATCAGAGAATAAGAGCGGGAAAACCAGGTGGTGATGGAGTTTGGTTTTGAAATACTTTGCCATAGAACAGCTAGGATAGGGTATAGCAGATCCAGCTTCCTTGGAGACAAAAATACTTCATGAAATAATTAAGCTTAAAAGAAAAAATATTTAAAAAGAACAAAGAAATAATTAAGCTTGAAAGAACTTTTGGCTTGCTTCAAAGTTGCTGACGTGTGGCCAGAGGCAATAAATGCTTGAACTAACGAAGCCCATAATTGCTGAAGATAGATGATGGGGCCACCGCATTCCTAATGTCATCTTTGAAGCCTGATGCCTGCAGCCAGCAGCTGTTGCCCACATGCCTCAGGGCAGGTATGCCCGGCAGAGGACACCCGTGGTGGCTTTTGTTGGATCCCAGTGCGAGGCCACCCTTGGGGAAGCCACTATGGCGTGCTCGGCCGCAGTAGCAGGAACTGAACCTTCAGGGGGAACTGGAGCTGCAGCCACCAACGCACGACAGGAAGGCCCTCGGCTAGGTCGGGTCCTTCCTTCCTGCAGACTGCGGAGCGCACGCGCCCGGTCCCCGGAGCGAGGCGCCCTCCACGGTGCAGCCGGGGACAATGGGACAGGGCGCGGGCGCAGCTACGGCGGAGCCCTGGGGGCCAGGGTGGCCGCGCGCCGCCGCTCTGGAGGACACGGCCCTCGTCTCGCAGGCACAGGCACCGGACACTCGGTGCCAGGCGCGACGCGGCCGGCCCACGCGGGACGCGCCCACGAGGCCAGCCGCAAAATGGCGACCGCGCCGACCGGCGCCCCCTGCCGGCGCATGCGCAGAGCGGCCCCGCCCGCGAGAGCGGAAGTCTTGTGACCCCGGAAGTGACCGTCGGAGCGGCGGGCGGCGGACGACGTTCGTCACTTGGTGCGGGAGGGAGCGCGAGAGCGGCGGTCGAGCCTCCGGTGAGTGGGCGCCTTGCGCGGGCGCGGGGCGGCGCGGCGCGCGAGGGGAGCGGGGCGGCTTTGTGCGGCGCCCCCGGCGGTTGCGGCGCTCGCGAGCGGGCGGGGCGCGGTCACGACAGCGGGCGGGGCAGGCTCGGGGCGCCTCGGAGGTCCCGTCCGAAGGGTCGCGGCTGCCCAGGCCAGGGCGCCAGGCGCCCGTGGGACCCAATCCCCGGCCACGTGGGCGGGGTCCGGCGTGGAAGCCTCGCCCGGAGCTCCCGCCGCGCGGCCCCGCCCCGCCCGGATTGCGGGCCCTGCGGAAGTGCGGGCCGCGCCCTGGATGCTGTCGCCTGCGGCCACGCTTGGCCGCGTCGGGCGGGGTCGCCCGGAGCCTCACGGTGTCGGACCCCCCACTTTCTGTGTTTGTTTGGCGGACACCTCGCGGAGGGACGACGGCGTGGGGGCCTTGTGGCCGGGCTGTCCGCTCATCACTGCGCATCGCCTGCAGGGATCCGAGTGGGTTTCTGGGAGGAGACATTGGGGTAATCTGCGGAACTGAAAGACACCCGAGGCGCTTTCGTCCGGGATGGTTCTGCACCGCCACTGACGCTTTAGGGTCAGGGCCCAGAAACAGGTTCCTGAGATTTATTTACAAGCGGTGCACCAGCTCCCGAGTTGCATTCGCAGACCCTCACACTACCGTGCAATTTAGGATCTCCTTTGGGCTCTTAGGATTTAGAGCGGTCGCCACATAGTTGAGCTTAGGACGGCAATCCATTGGCAGGAACGCTCAGACGCTTGTCCTGCACGTGGTTTAGACACAGAGCATCCTCCTTTAGGAGAACTTACCTCCAGGACCCAGTAAGAGTGTCTTGGAATTAGAGCCTGGTCTGCTAGGGGCAGCAGGAGGCCCCAAGGGAGGTAGTGATCCATCCCATCCGCCAGTTCAGTTCGGTCTGGAGGCTACTCATTCTTTAAGGGGAGGAAAGGTGTTTTGCTTCTGTTGCTTTTTGTTGCTTCGTGATGTACTTAGGGTGTCGCCCTCTCAGATGAGCCTCTGAGTTAGTTGAGCAGTGGCAGCAGCCTCCTGTGTCCTCACGAAGTTCCCCACGCGTGATTACCTCCATCATTCCCTGCCGGTGTCATGGTCTCCCTAGGTTGGAAGGCCTCCAGGCGGCCATAGTCCCGCTCACTCCCTACCCACAGGTGTCCCAGGCTAGCGGTGAGCATGGCAGAACAGGAGCCCACTGCTGAGCAGCTTGCCCAGATAGCGGCCGAGAATGAGGAAGATGAGCACTCTGTCAACTACAAGCCCCCAGCCCAGAAGAGCATCCAGGAGATCCAGGAACTGGACAAGGATGATGAGAGCCTTCGGAAGTACAAGGAGGCCCTGCTGGGCCGAGTGGCTGTCTCTGCAGGTAGGTGGGTTGGAATAAGGATGTCACCTGACCCTGTCACCACCCCCTTTCCAGTTGGCCTCCTTCCTTTCAGAGAGTTGAAAAAAATCTAAGGAATGGGGCCCTGACTCTTGACTCTTACTCTCCAGACCCCAATGTCCCCAACGTCATTGTGACCCGCCTGACCTTGGTGTGCAGCTCTTCCCCGGGCCCTCTGGAACTGGACCTGACAGGTGAGTGGGTCCTGGAGTCCCTGGGTGGGGCAGCTGGCATCCAGTCACTGCCCCTAAAAATAATTTTCTGCACTGGTGCCCTCTGGTGGGACAGAGGAGAAGTGCAACTAGGTGCTCTCCAAGGCTCTGCTTTGTGTCAAGGAAGGGGCTGTGGGAAGTGAGTGTGGGGGCAGGGTGGGAAGCCTCCAAAGCCCTCGGCTGAACCTCCTCCCCAATACAGGTGATCTGGAGAGCTTCAAGAAACAGTCATTTGTGTTGAAGGAAGGTGTGGAGTACCGGATAAAAATCTCTTTCCGGGTAAGGGAAAGGCTTCGTGAGGCCCGGCATAGAGGGGCAGAGGAGCAGGACTGGGGAGCCAGCTGACCCTTGCTCTGTGTTCCCACAGGTGAACAGAGAGATCGTGTCAGGCATGAAGTACATCCAGCACACATACAGGAAAGGGGTCAAAAGTAAGTGGGTGCACTGTGGAGTGGGAGCCTGTGGGTTTGGGGAGAGGCTCACAGCACCGTGACCTTGTCCTTCCTGCTCCGCAGTTGACAAGACTGACTACATGGTTGGGAGCTACGGACCCCGGGCTGAGGAGTACGAGTTCCTCACACCCATGGAGGAGGCCCCCAAAGGCATGCTGGCGCGGGGCAGTTACAACATCAAGTCCCGCTTCACAGACGACGACAAGACTGACCACCTGTCCTGGGAGTGGAACCTCACCATCAAAAAGGAATGGAAGGACTGAGTTCCAGCTGGGAGGCGGGCAGGGCGAAGGACAGACAGAAGGACCGACATGCCCCACCCCAAACCCCTCCCCCCCCCCCAAACCAAAGTGCTGACAGGACCCTCCCTCACCATTCCTCCCTGGTCCTCTCAGACAGGCAGCTCTTCTGTCTGCCCCTCCTCCACCTCCTGCCTGCAGGCCCCTGTGGTCTCCAGTGTCACATTGCTGCTTCTGCCTGTGCGGTGGGGGAGGGGTTCCAGCCCAGGCCTCCAATCTGCTGTGTCCCTCCAGGTTCCCTCTGTCTTCCCTTCCTCAGGCCCTGGCTTCTAGAATGGAATGGAACACTGGGTTGCCCAGCCCACTTGTCTCTGCCCCATCTGAGCTAGGTTGCTCGGTGTGGGCAGGGTTGGGCTGTCTGTCCTTTAGCCCCACCACTCCCTGGCCAGGTCATCCATCACTGTCAGTCACTGTCTAACCATGATGCCTTAACATGTGGAACGTGTACTGGGGGCCGTCGCTAACTCTTAACTCCCCTGTCTGCATGAGCATGTGGTCTCCCCTGTCCTTGCCTTGTCTGCCATCCCCATCCTGGTGACCCACCCACGGAGGCCTGGGGTGCTGCTGTTGCTTCCTGCAGGCCTGGCCAGCTCTTCCCACTCCCCGTGGCCAGGGTTGGGGTGGCTCCAGTAGCTAGGGGAGGGTCAATTGCCAAAACTCAATGCCTCCAGCCCCATCTAGGAGGCAGGATAGGGTGCCTCATTCCTCTGCCTTCTCTGTCCTTAGAGGCAGCACTCGAAGCCCCTGTTCCAACAGAGAGCCCCTGAGGGACAAAGCCAGCCGAGCCTTACTTGTCTCACCTGGGCCCTAGGGCCTGAACCTCGTGCCTGGCCTGTCAGTATTTATTGCCTCCATCTGGGCCAGCTAGCCTGATGCCTCTGCCCTGGCTCTTGGTGCCACCATCCCTGGGCAGGCCCTCCCTGGACCCAGCCAGGACAAATGTGGGACCAAGTGCACACAGTTGGGAGCTGTCTCCTGTGCCTCCCCTCCCCCTCCCTGGTCCCCCGTGTGGAATCTGCCAGGCCTAGGCCTCGGCCTCAACAGGCAGAGGAGCCTGTCCCTGCTTCTCTTCTGACTGGGAAATAAACACCCCTGAAGGAGTCTGGGGTGGTGTGGTCTATGCTCCTTGTGGGGCTTGGAGGGAATGGCAAGGCTCCCATGGTGGGTGGAGTTCTCTGGCTAGGGGTGGCCTGCTGCTCACAGCCCTGTTGTGTCTTTGCTATTGGCTTCCTGTAGAGAAGTGAATATAAAAGAAACCCCGGAACCATGGTGACATGACTCATTAATCTAGACCCTCCTGGGAGTTGGCCCTGGGCACAGAGGGATCACTTGGGTCAGCACGCCCTAGCAGGAACTTGTCCTCAGGATGTAGTCTCGCTGGCCATGCCTGGATGTCTTCCTTTGGGTACTCTCACACAGATGTCAACAGAATAGGGGCTCCACTAGAAGATCTAGAACCTTAAGAGACTGATCCGGGTCCGCACAACTTGTGTGGCTGGAACAGGAAGTTGGTACCCCAGAAGCCTCGCTCCACATTCCAGTATGGTGCTCTCTAAAGCACCTACAAGGCTAGGGACAGGATCATTGCCCCGTGTGGAAGCGTGTAGAGGAACCCTGAGAAGCGGCTGGGCCTTAACCAGTGCAGCATTAGCTGCTGCATAGCCCTGCAATGACCACAGGGAGGCAGGATTACATTTCTGAGCACAATGAAAGACATAACCTCTGCCCTGCCCTTACAGGGATGTGTGCTCAGTGACCAGAAAACACCAAGCAGGAGTCACCAGAAACTTAATTTTGACCTGGTGCCAGTTTTGGGAGCCACCCTCTGGTTAAGTTGTTCAGTAAGTAAAGCGGTTGTACTATCCATGCAACTAGCAGTGGTCAGCTGCTTCCCTGGAGCCTCCCAGGCTGGCTTTTGGGGTCCACCACTGTTGGCCGGTGGAGTGAAACTGCTGGGCCAGTCAGGAGATGCCTTTTATAAGTCAGGGGCCATGTCAGTCATCCCGACCAGTCCATGGGAACCCACAGAATAGCAGAGCCACTAACCTGATATTAGCAGCCCCTCGTGGTAAGCAGCCAAATTGTTGACCCAAGCCTCTCCCAGAAATGTTCCTGGCACCAGCAGTCAGGCAGGCCTAAGCAGGGTGAGGCTCTTTCCTCAAGCCCTGCAGCTTGACAAAGCCAGGACCGGCCAGTCAACTCTTAAATCTTTAATCTGTCAGCAATTGTTTATTGAGGAGGGGCTTATGAAGTTCACATCGGATCAAGAAACTTAATCTTACAACTCCAGGTTCGTCCTAGCCTGGTAGGTGTGTGAACTCAGACCCTAAGTGCCAAGTGTGCAAGCACACTGCCAACAACTAGGACTTTGCCCTGGCTCCTCCCTGAGCAGGTTAACTTACGATGTCCTAATAAAGTGAATGACGTGTTCCTTAGGTCCCAAGTCTAACCAGATCTCACCCCAGGAGCCAGAGGCAGCCCCATCCACTTACCTCTATCCATGGCTCCAGGAATTCCAAGGTTTCTAGCTTCTCAGGCACCTCCAGATGGGCCTCCCTCCCCAAGAAAGGTCATGGTTGTAGGTAGTACCAGTCACTGAGCAGTCGGCTTCTATGGTGTATGTAAGTAATCAGCTATTTTGATTTACAAGAACCTTCTCCATGCCCAGCACCATCCTGTATCAAGGCTACTCTACCCATGGGCTATGTATACCATGTCCTGCTTCCCGCTTCCCACTGGGCTGTCACCAGCTCTCAGCTCACGCTCCAGTACAGATGTTGTGACCAGTGGCACCGACCTGCTGTTCACCCCACTGGACATCTGACAAGCCTGCAACCTGAAAAATAGCAGTAATACTCAAAACCGACCAATAACTCAACCTTTAGCTCTGAGTGAGACTCTTTCCTGAAGGATATCTTGATACAATTCCAAAAGTGGCCAGAGAAATGGGCTCCAGCCAGTGTGGGTCTTGCATGACCTGGACTCTAGGTCCAAACTACCTCTTCTGCAGTGGGAGCTGCTCTTAGAAGTTATCAGCTTGGCCCTCAAGGCTATAGCCCATAGATGTTCAGATGATCCAACCTGCATTCTTGGGTTGGAACATAATACCTCTATGTTATTTGGCTACTCAACAAACCCAGAGGGTCCAAGAATTTCAGGCCTCCCTCTGGCTTCTCAAGAACACACTGCTGTGCCTGTTTGGGTCTGTGTAGAAGACCAATGCAGAAAGTAGACATTCATCAGTCTTAGATACTGTGAGCACACGGGGAGAGGGGTGCTTCAGGGCTGGCCCCTCTTTCACAAAATGTCAGTAGCCCTACCTACCCTGTTATCCAGACAGGGCAGTTGCCTACACTGAGAGCCTTGTCCATCCTGTGCCTGCCCTAACAGCCCAGAGATAAACTGAGATCCGATCCTATCTACTTCAGCCTGTCTTGTATGCACCTGGAATGCTCCCGGGATGGTCCACTTCTTTTTTGTATTCTACTGTGTCCTGGAGGCAAGTTATCTTTAAACCATCATACTCAAAGCCCTACTCTGTTTACCTCCGTAGACAAAACACCCGACCCCTACTTGTCCTTCAGCTCCTGGTACTCACCAGGGGTAGCTGAATGTACCTGGAAGTCCAGTGATTTAGGAGGCAGAGGCACCTAAATTGCTAAAAGTTCAGGGCCACAGTTTCAAGACAATGAATGACTGATGAATGTCTACTTTCTGCATTGGTCTTCTACACAGACCCAAACAGGCACAACAGAGTGTTCTTGAGAAGCCAGAGGGAGGCCTGAAATTCTTGGACCCTCTGGGTTTGTTGAGTAGCCAAATAACATAGAGGTATTATGTCCCTATTGGGCTACAGAGAGAGAGACAGAGGAAAAAAGGGAGGGAGGGAGGAAGAAACTTAAAAATAAAACAGAATTTACCCATCTGCCTCTCCAATGCTGGGATTACAAGGGAACACTACCATACCAGCTGACTTTCTCTTCTCTATCTTGGCTCCAAATTACGGTTTGTAAAACAGGCCAAGGCAACCACAAAACTACTGGAGATGGCGCAGCAGACCTGAAACAATTTCTATCACACCCAAGAGCAGGAGTGTTAACAGGTACTCCAGTTAGACCGAGAAAGGGAGAAACACCTAGCCCAGCTGCTGCGGGACTGGGTACATCTGCTCATAAGCCCTCCTGGGCCTGTAGTCACCCTTTGGACACACGAAGGTTTCCCAGTGGGCACAAACAGTATCTGACTCTCACCCTCCCTACCCTGGATGTGGTTGGGGCACAAGGGGCTTGGTCTTCAAGAGAGAAAGAAACTCTAAGCAGAGTTCCATGTAGGAAAGGTAACACATTCCTTCATTTAGTGTCTCAAAAGAAACTATCAAAATACAGACGCGTACTTAGGTTTCAACGTTTCTGAGAGCAGTATATTATGAGTCAATGTGGAGAGACTTAACATGGGAGTGCTTCCTTGTCTAGTGACCCTTAGCTATCAGGACTGTTTCTGTAGTAGGAAGTGCAGAAAGGGGAGGCTGCCAGAAGGGAGCAAACAGAGCATGGGGATGGGAGTGTGCAAGTCGGGTGACAGGCATCGTGGATCACTAAGGAAGAGTGGGCTGGACATTGACAGCGATTGCTCACAGCTGTCACCAAGCACTCAGCTGGCTGGGGCAGCGCTTGAACTATCGCTTCAAGCTCGAGGCCATTGAGTTCCAAGCAAATCAGGTCTAGAGTGGCTCAAACCCAAAAGAAGACAGTGATGAATCTGGGATAAGACGAGGTAAAACTTGAGTCTCGTCTGTAACCCTAAAGGTTGGTTTACAGAAGTCAAAGTTTCCATTATTAACCCAACACACACAAATGCCACTTCAACATGTGGTCCATCTCAAGTCTGACGAGGAACTGCTTTCTCCACTTCCCAATCGGGCTTCCACGAAGTCTGGGCCGCCCGGGACGGTGGTGGCGCACGCCTTTGATCCCAGCACTCAGGAGACAGGGGGATCTCTGTGAGTTCGAGGGTAGCCTGGTCTACAGAGCGAGTTCCAGGTCAGCCAGGGCTACACAGAAAAACCCTGTCTCGAAAAAAAAAAC